TTCTCCTAGGCCTGAAAGAATGCCCAGAGGTTTTAGCAAGTTGTGTGCTTCTCGTTAACAGCAAGACTTGCCTGCCGGCAACCATTAGCTCTCTTCAGCATCATAAACAGACAAATTCAGCTTGAACCACGTCTGAACTTGGCTTAGGCACTAGTTTTTCTGCCAGTACATCACTGTTTTCAACTTCAGTCAGCACTGTTTTGAAGTTATTACTGTCTGGTGGTTGGGGTTTTTTTGGTGGTGTATGCATCCTAAATGAGCTTTGTGGTCTCCCCACTTCAAAAGCCTTTCTGCTCTCACCTCTTTTTACTGGCTGTCCTCTAGCAAGACCAAAGACCAAAGGGTATAAACTATCTCAGCAGCACTCCGGCTCCATGCAGCGTGCAGGGATGCAGCCTGTGGGACAGGCATGCAGGCTGCTGGAGAGGGCCAACACAGGAATCAGGCAAGGAGATGGTGCAGAGCTGTGCCAGGTGCACCCAGACCTGGTCCCCATCCTTGCCTCCATTCAAATCAGGCACAAAGAAAGTGTGTGCTGCAAACTTCAAGCTGCTTAAAGCGTATCTCACCATCCCCATTGCCCACTTTGCTCAGGTACCAGGTATCTCCTGGGTGAGGAGAAGCAGAAGACACAGAAGCACCCTCAGCAGAGAATCACGTGCAGGTGTTTTACTGAGGGGACCAGCTGCTCCTACTGACACCAGCTGGCTTCCCATCCACATGAGTATGCCCATGGTGAAGGCAGGCTTGTACCAGGGATGTGGGAGTCAGCAGCCTGTGCAGAGGACTTTGCAGGTACTCTGCTAGTAAGAGGATGATGGTATTTACTAACACTTCTAAGCTAGATTTTTATTTACCCCGTGGGTTTCACCTGCTCTTTCTGTGTATGGTTCTGCTAAAGTGACTGTGGCTCCTTTGTGGAGCCTTAAAGGAATTGTATGTGGGAAAGAGAGCGAAAGGGACAATGTGTTACAGTATTGCAACACTTCCTACTAGTGTTTAACCTCCTGACAAAATTCATCTTTTTTACAAAAAAATCTTGAAGTGCTTCACTCAAGGCAAAGATATTTGCTGTGTTATAAAAGTGTCAACATTTCACTTACAAATTGGTCATTCTTTTGGCAGTGACTTTAACAGAAAATTCCCCTTGGGGCTATCATGCCTCTTTGTTGGTTTTTCTTCCCTTCAAAAAAAAAAAAACCAAAACCAAAAAACCAAACAACTTAAAAAGCAAGCACAACTTACTGCATCTGGTGACTGGGTAACTATTGTACTGCAGGCTTTAAGTGCTGGGGCTGAGGCCAGGAGATGAAAGAGAGAATGAGGCTTCTCCAGCAGCAAGGTGAATGCTCACAGGTCAAAGCCTGAAGCACTGCCCTGCTCCCTGCAGCCAAACAATTGCTTTACCACAAGTTTCTCTTTTTCTGATGTTTATACCTCTGATGTTATTCACACCTAGCCATAAACAAAAACATTTATGGGGAGGGGGGAGTGTCACAGACTAATACTTGGAAGTAATTTCTCTGTGCTTCTTGTTCTGTTTTAATGCACTATGCTTTCTACTGCTGACCACTTTCTTACACTTGCTTCTCCTTTCATTTTCTATGTTTCTGTACATGACTGTTTATTTCTTCTCTCTTCTACAACAACACTGATAACTTGGACAGAAAATAAATGTCAGTCTTGTCTTTCCTTCTTGTCATGTGTGGATGCTGGTGTTGGAGCCTACCATCTGGCTGGGATTTCTCTGAGGTTCCCTCTCCTGCCTTACCTGTATGTAGCACAGCCATGATAGGACTTGTGGGGGTCAACTGATTTATTCTTTTGCCGCCTTGCTTTGCCATGGGACAAAAGAGAGGTGACAAGGAGTTAGGAGGCAGTACTGTGCAGAAAATGGGTATTTAGTAATCCTGATCTGAACAGTGATCTCTGTCTGATTGTAGGCTCTCAAAAACAGGAGAGGCTCTCAATTCAAAATACAACAGAAATCTCAGTCTCTGGTGTTTTTGCAATACTTTCCCTAAGCTAAGGATGCTGATGCTCCCCTTCAATTTTTCTGTCTTGATGATGATAACAGTAGAGGTGCAAACCAGCCCCTTTTACTGGTAAGTGCCTTAACTACACCACCTCTCTTGCTCTTGTACTAACTAGCTTTACCATCATTCTGAGGAGATCTTTATTATGGGAAAATAATGTGTGGAAGAAAAGTGGTTGGATACCATAAAAAGACTGAGCACCTGTAAATGTAAATCCTCCCCTTTCCCCCCCACCCCCCCCGCCCCATGTCCTCAGATTTGGCTACAGGAGCATCCATTCATTTCTCCAAAGAGCAAATCCCAGGTACTGGCTTGAGACAACCTGTGGTGAGCTCCCAAGGTACTCTGAAAGCATCTGGCAGAGCTCCTCTGTTCATGTGTGCCGGGGTTTGCACAAAGCTCAAAAGGAGCTGGGGGTTCATGGAGCTGGAATTCTACCTCATTTGTTACACTGTCCAATAGCCTCTTACGGGTGTGACATTAACTTGTGATTACAGCTGGTGTTGCTTTAATATTATTAGTCCCATTGCTCCCAGGTATGCCTTTGGCTAATGCTCTATTGAGGGTAGTTTCTGGGAAGAAAATCAAGCCCTTGTTGGCCAATGCCCAAACCGGGCAAAGCCAGGCCAGCTCTGTTTGCCGTCAACTGTGCAAGGGGCTGTCTTTCACTCTTACCTACACACCCTCCCAGGCTCCTGGCCCGCATCCAATCCAGATAAGAAATGACTGAAAATTGCTGCTGTTAGCCAGCTATTCTGTGACCTGCATGAAAAGAGTGAAATGACCTCGGGACTAGTCTCGGCACACAGCCGTCTGCCCGCAAACTGTGGCAGGCGAAAAGCCTTGGTAGGCACACCAAAGGCTGGCAGGACAAGTATCTTCTTGGCAGCTGCTCCTCACAGAGGGGAGGAGAGGCAGCAGCAAGCTGATCTGATGGAGCATACCTCGGTGCCTGCCCTGATTGGTCCCTAACAAGGTCCTTATGAGGTGTTCATGCAAAAGTGAGTTGTTATACATTTAAACAACCATAGGCTATTCTCTTCAGGACAATCTGTGGTGAAGCAGGTATTTGCTGGTGATACTTTGTGGTGGTAGGAACAGGAGAAAGTCCTCTTCCCTTGGGCTTTTCTGGAGGGTCCTGTGGTGCTGGGATTCTGCTGAAGCCACTCTCCCTGCAAGGAGGACCAGCAATGCCATCCTCCCATGGAGATGGTGCAGAGCACCCTCCTGCCTGCTTCCTAGGTCTTCTCTGTGGTGCACAAGCCTTCAAGCAGGCTGCATAGGCCTTTCCTTCAAAATTATTTTTAATAGCATGCAAAGAAATTTTGGAAGGAGTGTAGCCGTGGAACTGAACCTGAGATTGCCCATTAAGCATGACATCATCATTTGAACAGTACTGGGCAATAATGCATGCAAATATTTTTATTGTGCTGGGCCTTATGTGCTTTAGGTAACAAGAAAAGCTTCAGTCTGAGCAACAATAACAAAAATAAATAAATGCCAAGGAGGAGACACTGCTTAAAAATTGAAAAGTTCTTTCAGCCTGGGGGTGGGAGCAGCTAATCCTGACACTATCCTGCAACTTATTTCTGCTTCATTAGACAAGTCTATGATGTGCAAAATGCTGCTTAGGAAAATGGGAACTCATCGGTGGATGTAGACATGAGAAGTTTACAGAAATGTGCTTTGTAGCTGCACACTGACAAGTCTGTGCCTCCTGATGTCCTCAGCCTTTTTTTGGCCTAACTCTCAAAATTCCTCAGTGTATTTTTTCTTCCTGAATCTGACTGAGTCTCCTGCAGCCCTGTACCTTAGGGCTCAGTTTGTGTCTCTCTGGGGAGATGAAGTTTCCATTTTAGGCACTGGGTTTCTAGTTATATATCTAAAGAGAAATGATGTGCTCATCAGAGGCATTCCCCATCCCTGCCACAAGCGTTCTGGGTAGCAGTTTAGACTTCCTGGAAGCCCTCATGGCAGCTCTTGCTTGACGTCAGCTAACCCAGACACTGAGGGTCTCATCATCACGTGTAGGTGGCTTCTCCAGGCAGGGGAAGCACCTGGCTGAGAAGACAGGTCTGCTGTTACTCTTGCTGCTGAAAGATGACTCTCACGGTCAAAGGGCTTTCATCTTCAAGTTTTTGCACTGGCACTATTTTGTATAAATACAGCAGAGAGGTCTAGGTGTGAGTTTTTAGGGTCAGAAGTCTTCTCAAAGGGGTCCATGTAGTCTTCTTCCACTGAAGAGGAGTGAGTTGGGCTGGCTGAAGGTACCTGCTGTCTCTGCAACTACTAAAGAACCTACCTTGCATCCTCCCTCATGCTTTCTCTTAAAAGGGTGGAATGATTCAACACACTTCTCTCTGGTGTAGCAGCTTGGTCTGAGAATCTGCTAGAGACTTGTCACCATGGCCATAGCTGGGGAAAGGAGTCCCTCTGTCCATCATACAGGACATACAGGCATATATCCTTCTCACTGCACCTTCTTTCACCTCAACTCTTTGGAAGACTTATGACCACTGTGAGGGTTTTTTTAAAGGAAATTGTACATTTCTGATTTCCCCATTTAGTTTCTACTAAAACACTGGCTGACAGCATTAAGGTAACTTGTGATGCTGACTAAGCTCCTTCCCCCTACCACCCCCGGTATTATTAATATTGCTTAAGTGAAAACTGCTTACAGCTAGTATCTTGCCAATACAGTTACAGTTGATGCTGCTTCAATGTTGTTGCAACAGTATCTTGGGTGATCAGATGAACCTGGTAATAATGCTGGCAGTTAATACTTGACTGACAGCCAAATATTGCTTTTGGAAATACTAAAACGATCGGTGCTCCTAAGGAAGGAAAACAAACACCCTACCAAGCAGTAGTAACATGCTTTAAGCAAATGCATTCTGCCATAGTGGGACACTTGTGCAAATCAGCGCAGCAGTCCTAATTTCTAAACTGTTTGGAAAAGATGACATGGTGGTGTTTGAGGCTGAGAGTAAGTGTGTAGGAATCTGCATGGATTTATGGCTGACTGATTTTTTGGAGATCATCTGGGAGGGTAAAGCCCCTAAACCCACCCTGGGGAAAGGTACCACATTACTCCCCCACTCCACCAGCCCCACCTGCTGCTGCCAAGCAGATTTGATCACTTAATGCCCAGGTCAGCTCACAGCTCTTCTTCCTACCTGTGGGACTGTTGAAGAGCCATAAAGGGTAAAACCTTTGAAAGCAACTTATTAAGCACCTTAATTCCCTGTGCCTTTTAAAGGGACTGTTTATTAGAGCAGCTTTGATTAGGGAATGAACTTCAAGCGCAATAACTATTGCTCTTGATTGCAGTATCCCAAATGCTACTTGCTGTTAGACCCTTCATTTTCCCATGGCTTATTTGGGTTTTTTTTCCTCTTCAAATGGAATCATATGTGTGGAATACTCTTACAGATCTGGATTACAGAGCATCCACTGCAATTACTGAATGTGGGACTGCTATGTGATACCTCCTGGAAAGTTCTACCTTCCCAGTACTGAGGCAGCAGAGATTATACACAGGATCCTGTAAAGTAGGTCAATTTTAATAACCCTTTCTGCTTTGTGTTTGTTTAAGATATTCTACAGCCCAGTCCACTTTGCTCCATTCAACTCCTAACATTCACTAGAGCTGTTTAAGGGAATTAACAGCTCTGCCATAGTTTTTCATGAAATCGTCACTGTGTTTTGTTTCACAGCAGTATTCCCCTAAAGACACAGTCTTACTTCAAGCTCACCACCGAAGCAGATCTTCAGCATGAGCCCAAAAGTAATGGACAGAGCTTATGAGTCTCTGACAACAGTTTCCAAGAAGCAACTCACATTTGCTTGTTGCCTTTAGATAAGGAATATGTACATGCAGCTGAAGTTAGAGAAGTACAGAGTGGAACATTGTTGGTTATGTGTGGTTTTTGAGTGACACCACCATTCTTGGAGATGCTGCTCCCCTGAATAAAGGTACCCCAACCTACCTCCTGAGAGCAGCTACCAAGACAAACTTCAGATACCCATTTCCTCTTTACCCTCCCATGACTCTCACATCACTGTAGGCAAGGGCAACACAGCCTCCTGCAGCAGCACCTTCTGCATGTTCAGGAAAGAAGTGATCAGCTCTGAACCTGCCATGTCTCCTACACACATCTGCAGCTCCCCATACACAATCTCTGCAGTACTTGCTCCAAGTGCTGAGTGCGTAAAACTTGAAGGGGGGTGGGGGGGGGGAAAGGCAAGCCTGGAGATTGTTATGCAGCTCCTTATTCCGTTCTGCACATGAAACCTGGTCCAGAAGAACTGCCTTTCTGTTCTGTCACTCATTATTCTTCTCTCCCACTCCTTCAGGCAACACTTAAGTTACCTTGGGCATTTCTGGCAAATACAAGTATCTTACAGCTCTGAAGCCATTTATAAATAGATTTTTATTTATAAAGTCAATTTACATAAAATATGATACTCTCTTAAAAACTGCATATGTACAACTTAAGAAATCCTAGCAAGTGCATACAAAAATGCCTTCAATACATTTTTTTTAAAAAAACTTCAGTTTTCAGAGTAATAGACCTTCACACCAGGCAAACTCAGACACCATGCTGAAACGCAACTTTACAGTCCTTTACTGAAGTGTTTGGAGAGAATAATAATAATAAAAAACCCAAACAAACACCTTTTTATCTACACCATGTATGTTCCCAAAACATTCTAGCTGGCAGTGTTCAAGAACAAGTGAATAGGACTTGCTAAAAATAGAACCATCTTTTCAACCCTTTTCTCTAAGGTTTCTTGTACAAAAATAAGTCTTCATACACCAGTGTTCCCACAGGCAGTTCAAGTTACATATAAAATAGAATCTGACATGATAAAAAATTCCCTCCCCCTCCAGAAACAAGGAAGCATCAAGTGGTTTTGATTTCTTTTTCTCCTTTCCACCCCTCCAAAGCAACACCAGATCGCAGCGGTGGGAGGGAAGCGGGTTCGCTCGGGCATCCTCTCCGTCGGTCGGCAGCTCCCGGTGGGCAGGCGGAGACGCTGCCCCGGCCGGCGCAGGGAGCGGGGCCCTGCAGTGAGTTACATACATCATTGCACTTTTCACGACCCGAAGACGAGGGGTGAACCCGGCGAGAGAAGCAGCCAGCGGGGTCCCGCTGGGGAGGAGGTCAGTACTTCCAGGGGGGATGCTGCGGGCGCCGAAGTGCTGCGGGCTGGGCGCGGCTGCGGAGAGATGTGAGGAGAGCCCCGAGTGGGTCCCTGCCCCGCTCCCCCAAGCTCCGGGGCGGGAAAGCGGCACCCCCTCCCCTCCGGCTGCCCTCTCACCTCCCGCCGGGTCAGTAGCTCCCCAGCCAGCTTGTGAAGTCCAGCAGCTCCCGCTCCTCGGGGCTGAGCGCCGCGTCGTAGCCGCTCTCTTCGGAGGAGCAGGGCGAGCCGGGCACGGAGGAGGCGAAGGAGGGCGAAGCGGAGGAGTAGCCGCCGCCGCCGACCTCCCCGACGGCCACCCGCCCGCGGCCGTCGGGGAAAGAGGCGGCGGCGTCGTGCTCGTCGAGGAGCCGCTGCAGGGCGCGGATGTACTCGACGGCGGAGCGGAGGGTCTCCACCTTGCTCATCTTCTTGCTGGCGGCGCCGTGCGGGACGTGCTGGCGGAGGGCGGCGAAGCCCAGGTTGACGAGCCGCACGCGGTTCCGCTCCCGCTCGTTCCGACGGGCCACGGCGGCCGCCGCCGCCGCCCCGGTGCCCGGCAGGGCGGCGAAGGCCAGGCGGCGCTTGCAGCGCAGCAGCTCGGGGAGGCGGGCCGCCGGCGGCCGCGGGGGGCGGCGGGGGGCAGCGGCGGCAGAGCCCCGCCGTTCATCGCCGTGCGGCCACGGCGGCGGGCGGGGAAAAACAAATAAAAAAATTAAATAACTTCCCCCCAACCCGAAAACTAAACTGAAAGCGGGAAGAAGGACGCGGGGGTGTGCAGCGCGGAGCGGGGGCTCGCTCCCATGCCCCCCGTGCTCTCCCGCCGCCGCTCGGCTGCTCTGCGGCGGGTCCCGCCGCCGGACGGGCCCTTATCAACGCGCCGCGAGACCCGCCGGCCGCACGCGCCGCCGCACGCCCGCCACGCGCGCCCGCCGCCGCCGCGCCCCCGCCCGCGCCCTCCCCGCGCGCGCACCCGCCCCCGCGCGCGCCCGGCGCGTGGCGCCGCCGGCACCGGCGGACTGCCCGCCCCACCCCGGTCCCGTCCCATCCCATCCCATCCCATCCCATCCCGTCCCTGCCCCTCGAGGGCGCTCCCCGACACCCCCACCCCCGCCACTTCTCCTGCAGATCAACGCCCCCCTGCCCTTGTAAGTTTTAATATTTTGGTTTTAATTTAGTTTTTATTATTGGCCGGGGGAGGGGCTCCCCGCCTTCCCCCCTCGCCTCTTCCACGCACCGGACACGCACCAGCAGCCGGGATTCCCCTTGCTTCCGCTGAGCTGGAAGCCCATGTCCTGTCCCGTCCAATGTGTCACCGACCCGCCCCCTCCCAAAACTGGGTACCTTGCGGGATCGGCGTTTGTCGGACAGAGGCACAGAGGCTCTGCTTTGTTAGATCAACCGAAAAAGTATGATAACCAAAATTTATAGCAGTGATGTGAGTCATCTTACCAAGGCCATTCTTTGCAGGCCAGCTTTTTGGGCTTCAATGGGAGTTTCAAGGATAAAGGCATAGAGAGAAGAAGGAAAACGTAAAGCTTCTGTGGCTCAGGCACTGCAGCCCTGCTTCCCTCTGCTATGCCAAGCAGTCCCTCTTGGCTCTCCATCAAACAAGCCTTGCTTCCAGCTCCGGCAGGAGGAGCAGTGGGGTAAGGTGCTTTGGGATAGCTGAATTGAATAGGCAGGAAAAAAGAGCTTCCTTTTGGAGTCCTGGAAGCTGGTGTGAGGAGATAACTTGCACAGTGTTTTGCTAAATGAACGGGGTGGATGGAGGGGGGCTACATGAACCCACTGCCCAAGGGCTGCATCCACTCTCAGCTTCAACAAACAAACAAAAAAGATTCAACCATGCGATGCTAAACAGACCCTCTCACTGGCTTCAGTGGGACCAGCCATGCCCCCTGTGCCAGGTGCCAAGCTGGAGCTGGTGTGACCCCTTGGCATGACCACTGAGGGGTTAAATCAGCTGCTAATTAGAATTAACTGAAGTGCAAGTTGTCTTCTGCAGGTCTCCCTCCACCCAGAGGCATGAATAGGAAGGAGGTTTGAGGCAGTTCAGTTACATTTGCTTCACTTTTGGGGAGGGATCTTAACCCCATCTCAGGAAAATGCTCAAAGCTGGTGTCACTGGCAGCAACTTGGTGGCAGGGATGTATGCATGCCCGTGGCAGAGCTGTCATCACATGGACAGGTGCCAGCAGGGCTCTGCACCATGATCTGGGTATCGAAGTAAGGGTCTGTATATCCCCCTGGCTACCCTGAACCTCTCTGGTGCTGCTCCTTGGGTGTATTGAAGCCAAGTAATTCAAAGAGCTTTCTGGTAATTCAAAGAGCTATCTGTGATTTCTAAATGTGACGCGGAGGGGGCCCTTTTGTACCTGTGTGGGGTATTTAGGGAGCAGCAAGGCTCCACCATGTTGAAAGATAAATATTTTTCCTGGGGATCTGTTGCAATGGCAGTGGGTTGAAGGAACCAGGCCCACTGGGATGTCACAGGCAGCCAGGCTGAAATTCCTGGAAGTGACAGTAAGGAGCCTGCTAGCGCTCTGATTTTCTGTCTATCCCACTCAAGCACGCATAAGGTTTAGCACCCAAATTCAGTGGCTTCTGAGACATTCTTGGCCGTGCTGTAGGCCTGGGGGAAAACCAAGGCTGGGAAAACCAGCTTTGCTGAAAGATTTGACCCGAGAGAAGCAGCATGTGGTGTGTTAGTGCAGATGGGTGCATTTTTCCTGGTGGGTTCCCAGCAGTGCAGGGGAGCTGCCTGTGCCTGTGATCGTGTTTGTGAGCGTGAGCATTCACAGACTGCCTGCTCAGCTCACACAGTGTAATGCACTTGTCTTCTGCATCCATAAAGCTGCCTTGGCTGGTGAAGGGGGCTTCCCTTGCACTCACTATCAATCACAGCTTAGTCAGGAAGGACATTACTGCAGTGGAGTAATATCAGTGTTCTTTCATTACCTTGTCTTTAATTTCTGCTGAAAGCCTTGCGCACAGGAAAGGGGAAGCTGCTGTCCTTGAAACTTTTCAGGAAAAAACCTTCTGTATCAAAGAGCCACGCTCAAGAGTAATAACTGGATTTTTATCATATAAAAATAACTGCAGGGAATTTTTTTCATTAATAATGCGCACTTCAAACATCAGTAAACCCAGTCCCAAGGGAGAGTGTGCAGCCTCCAGCCATAGTGATTCCACACTCAGGTCAGGGATGAGCTTGACTTGTCCAAATTGGCTTCGGGGTTGCTGATTGCAATGTGTATTTCCAGCCAGATGTGGCCATCAGGTCTGAGGCTGAGCACAGAACACAACAACAGCTTACATTTTCCTAACAGTGGAGCTGGCTTCCTGACAGTCTGAAGGAACCTAGGTAGGTACATCTCGTACTCAGAGAAGTGCAATCTTATTTGAAATCTCTTTATAGAGTTAATGACTATGTAAGATCCAGTAGAACAAGACATCATTAAACACTGTCTGTGTTCACAATAAACTTCCTGATCATAATCTGGGGAGAGAGAGCATCCAGCAATGTGCTACCTATCCGCAGAGAGTGGAGAGAAGAAATTCTCCTTCTCTGGAGCAGATAAGGCAAAAATGATAATTGCATGGTTGGTGTGGACATCTTGCAGCCCCGTGTGGCTTCATCCATGCTGCAGGTGGCTAAACTACTCTCAGAGAGAGGGGAACTCTGCCATAATGGGTCTCCAAGCACTGATGCTACATGTTAGTTCTTGCATCTGCCCAAGGTGAGAGCAAAGTGCTGCCCCTGCCTTGGCACATGTGTCACCTGCAGATGGGGTGCTGGGTCAGTGCAAATGTACCTGCATTACAGGCAGCTGACATGAGCTTTCTAGGGGGTTTTGCCAAAACTTTATGGACCTCCATGGAAAGCAATAGAGGTCCTGTTGCAATAAGGCATGAGAGGATGAATGGCAGAAATAAAGGGCAATGGGCAGTTGAACAACCATATTCTTGTGAGCAGGTGAGTCCCCATTTGCCAGGCTGGGCTGCATCCAGGCTGGGTTTTTTAGGAGCAGAGCTAGATGGAGCAGGGCTCGCATTGTGTCTTCAGGTCTATCATCTGCACAGCTGGCTCCTGGGCAGTTATAGTTTGCAATTAGGTAACATGTGGAAAAGAAAAAGTAATTTAGTTTGATTAGGGGGATGTGCTTTAGAGCTAAGAGTACAATTCTTTCAGTGGAGAAAAAAGTTCATTTGAGTTTATTCTTTGAAAGGAACTCCTTGTCTTCAGCTTATGCTCTTTTCCAATGTAATCTTTCTGTGGTTTGATGAACTATTTTTAATAACTGTTCTGGCATTTTATTTGCTCCCCTATAATAATTTCAGATTTCCTGGGAATCACTAGAGGATTTCAGAGACACACGTTGAAAATAATAAGTAAAAAAGTCCTTTGGAGATATTACGGTTTCTCTCTGGTTTTGCCTTTTCCAAGGCAGCCTCCAGCCAGCCTTGTTTCCATTCACAGTGGAGTTATATGGTGCATCTGAAGCTTGGCAAAGCCCAGCACCTCCCCCTGTTCTCCTCTCCTTTCCTTTTTGAAAAGAGATGGCCCTGGGTTTAAAAGTTGATTTTTAGCTTTGATTGTGTGTATGTGCTATATGAATGCTAAGCAGCCTTTACAATGCATCCTTGTGATGTGCCCGGGAAGGCAGACGTGGGCTGTGCGGTCTCCCTGGCTTCCCATCATTCGTACGGCTGCGGTGCGGTTTGATATGGACATGTTTTATTTACGAGCAAGCTTTGGGGTGAATGGAGCCGTGTTATGGGCGGTAGCTGAAGGACTGAATGGGCTGAGCCACTGACACTTGTAAATCTGCCACATTTGGGGCTGGTTGCTACTGTGGAGGAGAGGTATTTTCCCTAATGGTGCTATAGGCTGGAAGGGACTCCTGAGAAGCATCAGGGACCTGGCAGAGTTGTGTCCTGCCTGGATGATGGGTGTAGTTTTGGCTCCTGGGTAACATC